ACAAAGATACACGTAGCAATTTACACCAACGTGAAGAATGAAGCAAAACATGGAGAGCAAGTGAGTGAAACTCACTTTTGAGCACACACAAACAAGAGAGGAGATAGCGATTTACTCTAGAGTGAAGAAATGAACAATGCATAAACACAAGACTACTAGAACACTACGAAAAGCAAGGATACATGTATCGATTTACACCAAAGTGAAGAATGAAGCAAAACATGAAGAGAATGTGAGTGGAATTCACCTTTGAGCACACACACACAAAAGGGAAGGTAGCGATTTACTCCAGAGTGAAGACATGGACAATGTATGAGCTCAAGACTACTAGAACACTAGAAAAAGCAAAGATACAAGCAGTGATTTACACCCAAGTGAAGAATTAAGCAAAACATAGAGAAAAAGTGAGTGAAACTCACTTTTGGGCACACACACATAAAAGGGGACGTAACGATTTACTCTAGAGTGAGGAAATTGACAATGCATGAGTTAAAGACTACTAGAATACTAGGAAAAACAAAGATACATGTAGCCATTTACACCAAAGTGAAGAATGAAGCAAAACATGAAGAGAAAGTGAGTAAGCAGACGTTTGAGCATACATACATAAAAGGGTAAGTGACGATTTACTCTAGAGTGAAGAAGTGGACAATGCATGAGTTCAATACTACTTGAACACTAAGAAAAACAAAGATACAAGTAGCGATTTACACCCAAGTGAAGCATGAAGTAAAACATGGAGAGAAAGTGGGTAAAACTCACTTTTGAGCACACAAACACAAAAGGGAAGGTAGCGATTTACTCTAGAGTGAAGTAATGGACAATGCATGAACTCAAGACTATAAGAACATTAGGAAAAACAAAGATACATGTAGCAATTTACACCAAAGTGAAGAATGAAGTAAAACATGGAGAGAAAGTGAGTGAAACTCACTTTTGAGCGCATACATATAAAAGGGAAGGTGACCATTTACTCTCGAGTGAAGAAATGGACAATGCATGAGCTCAAGACTACTAAAACACTAGGAAAAACAAAGATACAAGCAACGATTTACACCCAAGTGAAAAATGAAGCAAAAAATTGAGAGAGAGTGAGTGAAACTCACTTCTTATCACACACAAACAAAAGGGAATGTAGCGATTTAGTATAGAATGAAGAAATGGACAATGGGGAGTCCATTTCTAGTAGAGAAACCCCTTACTATCTATACTAACATTTGGAAAGCATCTATGGAGCGAGAGAAGATAAGAAAAAGTGTACATGTTGGAACATGGGAGGATGGGAGGAGAAAAGGAAGAAGAGGAAGAAGGAAGAGAAGAAGAAGAGGAAAAAAAAAAAAAAAAAAAAAAAAAAAAAAGGAAGAAGAAAAAGAAGAAGAAGAAGAAGAAGAGAAAATATCTCCTTCTCTCCACTCACCTCCTCTTGGGCCTTGGAGTTGCTGTACCGGTCTTGGAGCTGTTGCTCCCCACTTGGCTATAACTTTCGTCTTCCTCAAACCCTTTTTCCCTTCTTAGTCTCCCTCAAGTTACAACAAACTCCTACCACTATGGCTATGGAGTCCCCCTCTCTAGGAGGGCTAATGAGACTCTCTCTAGCCTTGTCTTTTTCCTCACAACCTGGGGGCTATGGCGGACCACCCTCCTAGGCCAGCCTCACTATCACGAGTCTCTAGAGCTCCTCACACTAGCTTACAGTCTCCTCTAAGCTCTCAAACTAACAAGGGTTCCCCTCTCCTCACTCCAAGTGAGAGGAGTCCTCCTTTGAGCTCACTTGGACAACATGGGCACACCTCATGCAAATGTGAGTGTGGCGGACTAAATTATCAGCTTCTGTAGGCTGAAACCAGCACTCCGGACAGCCCATGGGCCTTCCCATGTGCCTTGAGATGAACCGAGGTGCCCCCAAGGCAAAAATTCACCACTAGGCCCTTCCGGGGATACCCGGGCCTTATTTTGGCCAAGCACATACAGTCTGAGTGGTTGGTATTAACTCGGATTGCCTCTTGGTCTCCTCCAGCCTCTTTTTCACTCCCAAAATGTTGGCCCCTTGAGTCCAAATGCCCAAGGGGCAGCCTCACTTGAGAGAAAAAAACCTAGAGGTTTTTTTTCATGATTTTTTTTAATTTCTACCCCATTTTTGGTAGGCTGAGGTATTTTCTCATGCCTCGCTGCGTTTTCAACATTGAATCTGGCTGAGATTCAAGGCCCACAATATTTCGTGTCACCCCCATGTAGTCCTTGCCTCAAATTTGAGCCCCTAGGTTCACTTTTTCAATTTTTTGTGCATCCGGCCTTCTTTTCTTACCAAATGCACAATTTTGTTTTTTTCTTTCTTCTGTTTCTTTCCATTTTGGACTGTGAAATCATTCCGGAGTTGGCCGTTTGGGTAGGCCTCATAAAAAACGACCATATTCCCTTCTCCATGGATCTAAAAAAACGGTCATTTCCTCTGTACATTTTCTCTTAATTTTGTTTTTTTAATTCATATATTGTAGAGATAATGCCCCAAGAGTCATATCTCTGCAATCCGGATTGCCCTCCACTAATTGTGGAGGGATAAGGTCATAGTAGGGACCTTTCAGTCCCTACCGTGTCAGTCTCAATAGGCCGGCACATTCTCCTTCACTCTTTCCTACCCCTTTGTCTCATCCCTCCTCCATTTTCTCTCATTTTTCTTTGCTTTTCTTTTATTCCTGATGTGATAAGTGTCAAGGAGTTGCTCCCCACGCAAGACTCCAATGCACATACTCCAAAATGTGCAAGTGTAGAATGAGAGCGAAAACAGACAACTGTTGGGGTATACCCCAGCGGACCGACGGACTGGACTGGACTGACTGGTACCGACAGAGTTACCGGCCTGGACTGGACTGGACTGCCCCCGAATAGAACACAGGCCTGTGAGAACAGGCCAAGGGGCTGGTCTCACAGGCCAACCAGAGGTCCGCTACACGATCCTCAGCCTGTGATGGATCGTCTAGATGCAAACACGCTTCCGCCAAGAAGCGGAACTCTACCAAAGAAAAGAAAACCTGAGTAGTCTAGGATGCGGAGCAAGCTCCATGACGAGTCCATGCGATGCAACCAAGGATAGAAAATGTCATAAAACAGCAATGTCACAACTAACAGCCTAATTGAAAGCAAAAGCAACTAACTAGCATACATGTCCTAGGAAAGCAGAAGCAACTAACTAGCATACATCTCCCAGGAAAGCAGAAAGTAGTGACAATTAGATCCTAGAATGTTGGAGGCAGTAGTCTCAGTCTGGGAACAACTGATTAGAGTATAAGTCCTAAGAACAGCAAAAGCAGAACAACTAAATCCTAGAAATGTCAGAGGCAGTAGCCTCAGTCTGAGAGCAACAAAGCAACAACAAGTCAATCATATGTCACATGAGAAGTGTGCCGCAAACCAAAGGGTGGGATGGTCTCTGAGGGTGACGAATGTAGCCTAGGGGTCGAAAACTCCTAAGGGGATCCACACATAGTGACAGGGGAAACACATGTCATCAGGCTCAATGAGGGTAGGGAAATGGGAGCGAACAGAACCAATGACCCTAGCAGATAGACCATCAGGGCGGATACAGCTCGACTAAGGGGTGACCGCTATGGAGGGTCGACCATGCAAGGGAACAAGGGAGCCTGATATACTCGGCGCACCTAGATGAAGCATGCGGGGCTGCCTAACTAGGGCGTGAGGGCCGGCAGAGGGTAGAAAGGGTGATGGGTAAGGGAATCATGCAAATGACTCCTAAAGTGAGGAAAGCCGGAACTAGATCCGTAAGATGGGAAGCCAGGGCAATGCTACGGTCCCGATGCCTATGCGTGTACAAAGGGAGACAACTCAGAGGGACCCGGCTAAAGGGAGACCATCATGCGACACAAGCAGGGTACTGTACAGGGTAAAGTGGTAAGGGAGTGATGACGTCTGAAGTAGGCAGAGCTGATCGTGACGAAGTCCATGAAGTTGCCGATGACGTCCGCGATGAGAAGTCCAGAATGTCTTCGAGGAAGAGCCGCAATGTCGACGAGCTGAAGTAGCAAAACTGGAGTGGATGGAGTACTGAGAAGTCAAAGACGTGGGAAGGTAAGTCAGAGTCAATCGTCGTATCGAGCAGGACGACAATGAGTGCGCTGTGGATGCTCAGAAGCATCCGGCTGCTGCTGAAGGTCTGCCTCAGATGGAGCAGGCTCGACTTCAGCGGTTTCCTCAGCCGGGGGAGAAGGAGGGTCAGTGGGCTGAGGAGGAGCAGTGAACCCAGCACGACGAGCACGGTCATAGGCACGCACCAACATGCGAGCGTGCTGCAAGTGCTCGAGGGGCTCCCAGGTAGCCTCCTCATCAGGGTAACTCTTCCAACGTACGAGATACTCGACGTGGGGAGGGTGGTCGTCGGTGACTCGGCGACCAATGATGTCTGACACGAGGAACTCCTCGTGGCCGTCCACCATGATGGGTGGAGGGCGCTCGTATGGTCGTCCAGCGAAACGCTCAGACGGTCTGCGGTACGGACGCAGTAACAAGACGTGGTAGATATCGTGCACACGAGCCTGGTAGGTAGTCGGGCAGCTTCACACGAAAGCTGACCAGGCTAGCTGCCATATCAGAACCGTCGGCCTGGAGGATGTGGCATGGGCCAAAGAAGCGATGTTGAAACTTGCGAAGCATGTCCGCTTCGAGCTGTAAGTGGCGGGCGTCGATAAGGACATCATCACCGACTTTGAATGGATGATTCATCCTCGATCGGTTCACACGTGCTGCCATGCGAGTCGGGGAAGCGGCTATGTGCTCATGTGCGGTCTTCATRATCGACGTCATGTGTGCAACCCAATCATCCAGCGCAGGACAACTTGTGTCGGGATGCAACTGGGACGGTCGAAGGAAGTCCGCGGGAACACGACGGTGATAGCCGAGGTCGCAATAGTAAGGCGACATCCCCGTGGCTGGCGAGACGGCATGGTTGTAGGTTATCTCCGCGTGGGCAAGATGAAGATCTCACTGCTGGTCGTCACGAACAATCTTTCGGAGAATATCTCCGAGAGTCCTGTTCGTGATCTCGGTCTGACCATCCGTCTGAGGATGGTAAGACGAGGAGAAGAGGAGCTGGGTGTCGTACACCTCGTGGAGCCGTCGCCAGAATCGGCTGGTAAAGCGCAGGTCACTGTCAGATATGATGCTCAGAGGTAAGTCGTGGTCACGCACGACTCGGTCAAACACAATGTCGGCGACCTCCTGTGCACTGATGGCATAGCGGCACGGAACAAAGCATGCACACTTCGTGAAGCGGTCGACGACGACCAGGATAGCATCATGACCGCGGGGGTTCGGAGGACGAAGAGGACAGATAAAGTCCCTCGAGATGGACTGCTAACGACCCTCAGGGATAGGAAGAGGTTGGAGCAAACCATAAGGCAAGTGGTTCGCACTGTTCACCTCCTGACAGGTGGGACACTCTGTGACGTAGTCCTTCACAAAGTCCTTGCGCTTCGGCCAGACGTACAGGCGGCTCACACGAGCCAACGTCTTGTGGAACCCCGTATGACCGGCGGCTGCCTGGTCATGGAACTCTGCTACTGCTCGGACACGTAGCAGCATCGTAACTGTCCAGTGGAGGGAACACAAATACGTGGCTCTCTGGTGCCCTGTGAACCATGCCAGTACACAAGACCGTTGTCCCCGAGAGAGTAGTTCGGGACGGTCTTGCCACTCCGAAGGGTCGCGTGGATGTCGCGATAGTTGGGGCAGTGGCGGTACTGAGTGCGAAACTCGTCGATCACCGAGTGGTGGATAGTGGTGACCGAGATGGAAGAGAGCTGGATCTGCTTCTGGTCGTGGTCAGGGCACCGGGATAAGGCATCTGCGACCCGATCAGTCTCACCCTTGATGTGCTTAGTGGTGAAATTAAGCTCGGATAGGTCGCGCCACTGGCGAGCCTGTCGAGGAGTGAGTTTCGGCTTTGTCAGAAAAGCCTGGACAACAGAGTTGTCCGTGCGCACCGTGAATGGTGCCCCCCTGCAGGTAGTGATGCTAGTGTCGAGCAACATAAACTACTGCGAGAACCTCACGTTCATCAGCAGTGTAGTTTATCTCGGCGGGCAGGAGCTGACGGGAGTAGAAGGCTATCGGACAATCACCTGAGCGAGACTCGACAGTGCCGTCCTCGACGATGGTAGGAGAGTAGTCAATTGAAGGCTCATCAGTAGCTAGACAAGTAGGCGTCAATCGGGAGGCAGTGATAGGGGTAGGTGGTGGAAAGCGAGGGATATAAGGATGGGAGGAATCAGGAGAGGAGGGGAAGATCTGAGAAAGCACTGCTCCTACGGCAAAGTCTGACGCATCGGTGGTAAGGATAAAGGGGCGATCAAAATCGGGTAAGTGAAGAACCGGTGTGCATGTCAAGGCCTTCTCGAGGGCGCGGAAGGCGTCCTCGTGGAGGGGTGTCCAAGCCCAGGGCGGGTTCTTCCGGAGGAGGGTGGAGGTAAGGACGTTGGAATACCTAGTGTATCCCTGGATGAAGTTACTATAATAGCTGGTCAGGCCTAGGAAGCTGCGAAGCTGCTTGGCGGATGTGGGAGCGGGCCACTCCACAATAGCAGTGATCTTCGCGTCGTCCATGTGGAGACCCTGGTCAGACACGTAGTGTCCTAAGAAATCCACTTTGTGCTGGGCAAAGCGGCACTTACTCAGCTTGGCGTAGAAGCCATGTCTGCGCAAGCGGTCAAGGACGTCGCGGAGGTGTCTGAGGTGCTCCTCAAGGGTACGACTGTAGACCAGGATATCGTCGAGGTAGACGAGAACGTACTGCTCCAGGATGTCCCTGAAGATGTCATTCATCGCCCTATGGAAGGTAGCGGGTGCGTTGGTGAGGCCAAATGGCATCGCCGTGAACTCGTAGTGGCCGAATCGAGATCGGAACGCGGTCTTCGGCTGGTCGGCTGCAGCGACACGGATCTGATGGTAACCACTACGAAGATCAATCTTCGTGAAGAAGCGGTTGCCTGCTAGGCGGTCGAACAACTCATCGGAACGAGGCATGGGGTAGTTATTCTTAACCGTGTAGCGGTTGAGACCGCGGTAGTCGATGCGAAGACGAAAAGTTCCATCCGCTTTGCGAGCAAAGAGGACAGGTGCACCCCACGGGGAGTTGCTGAGTTTAATGAAACCCAGTCTCAGAAGCTCCTCAAGCTGACGCTTAAGTTCGGTGGCCTCGGGGATCGAGAATCTGTAGGGTGCCTGGTGGTGAACACGATAGTCAGACACAAGCTGGATGGAGTGCTCGACGTCGCGCATCGGTGGGATGCCAGCGTACGAGAACGACGATGGGAAAACGTCGTGGTACTCTCGAATGAGGTCACGAACGCGGGCTTCAGGTCGGGCGTATATCGTGCGAGTTCCTCAGCGTCAGCGTCAGCGCGCGACGGCGGGGTGGACTCGACGGACGGCGGAGGGACGGAAGTAGAGATGGGAACCATAGAGATAGAAGGAGGATCTGGCTCCAAAGGGATGAGCTCGGCGTCGGGACAGGGTGGATCATAGTGTAAGAGATCTGTCACGTTCACCGTAAAGAAGGTGACGTCGTCCTGTCGGATGAAGTGAGCGAACTGCCGAGGCGAGGTGACAGTGATAAAAGAAGATGGTGTGGGCACCGAAGGCTCCGGGGAAGGAGGATCGGGGCGTGGTGTCGCAGTGGGACCTATGAAAGGTACACGATACGTCTGTCCACACTTCGTTTTGAGAACGAGAGTGTTGGTCACCCAATCGGCCTCCGTGCTGCGGAACCGACGAGACCACGGAGTGCCGAGAATGAAGTCGTACCCCGTCTCCATCACATCGAAATGTGCAGAGGAGCGGTGGCGACGAGACGCCGGGGGACGATCAGTCGGCTCGAGAGTGAGGAAGAAAGGGAGGTCGGTGACTGTCTGATCGAAGAAGCGCTGAGTCTTGTCATCCCCTAGGGTGACAGAGATGGGAGTCAGAGACCCGGTCGTGGGTAAGCGGGCTTCTTTCACCACACGTGGGTGAATGAAGTCGCCCCAAGAACCAGAATCCCACAGCGCTGAGTACACCCTCGTGGAGGTCCCCAGTCGTATATGGATGATCGGGAGGGTGCAATCAGGGTCAAAGAGGGTGGTGAGAAGGCAGCAACATGGAGGGTGAGTCGCTCCTGACGAGCCTGGAGCATGCTCAAGTCCAGAAGAGAGGACACAACGTCCTCGCGAGTCGCAAGCTGCTCGCTGCAACGGGCTGAGCGAATGGCTCGACACGTCGGTAGTCGCGGTGGGGAAGGAGGGGAGACGGTGGTCTGCAGAGGCGCTGACGGTACTGCGACAGAGGGCTGAGTACACTCTGTCGGATCCTGCGAGACCTCAACTCCAGTAGCGAGAGGGGCAAACCGCGACGGGGATGTCGAGAAACCGACTACTGTGGAGGGCGCAGGTGTATACTGCACCGTGGCTAGGAGGCGCCGCGGGGATGCGAGGCGCCGGGGGGGGACTGAGCACGACGCTGGCGGGAAAGGTCAGCGTAGTGGCGGTCAAGGGCGGTGGTGTAAGCACACCGTGAGGAGGTATGACCGTCCTGACGGCATTGCAAACACCCACATCGACCCAAAATAGCCGCGTGCTCCTCAGCGGAAAGGACACCGCGAGGAGGAACAAAGCCCTGAGGGAGGTCCTGCTGAGGGACCTCGGGGGGCGACGCGCCAGCGTGACCAGGGAGGCTGCGTGCTCGGGAAAGGGTGGAGAGGATGAGCTGGAGGCGCTCAGCCATAGGGAGAGTAGGGTCCTCCAGGTGGTGCTGGACGGCCTCGCCAAGGTCGAGGTCGTCGCTATGGTCACCCTCTGGCGACAGCGGGGCACCAGCGTCCTGCTCACCATACTCGAGTGCACTGAAGCGGCACGAGAAGTGGCGGCCTTGCTGCGCGGAACGGCAGGGGCGACCGCAGAAAGGGGAACGGCGCTGGGAAGTGTCGTGAGAGGAGGAGGAGGCGTAACCAGTACGCTGTGGCTGGGAGGAGGAGGCGGGGTGAGGACGGGCTCACATCCGCTAATGGTCCCTGGCGGCCCCGTAAGCCTGCAGGGCCGATGTGAACTCGTACCGCCATAGCTCGGAGAGGTACTCGAGCGGAAGGCTGGCCAAGAAATGATCGATAAGGGCCGCCTCGGGGAGGAAGGCCATGTCACAAATGAGGCGGGCGTCCTGAAAGATCTGGATGTGGCGATCCAGGCCGGCAGCGCCACCAGAGTCGGACCAGCGTATAGTGACGACACGATCGAAGGCATCAGTCACGTCATATCGGGCAAGCGATCCTCGAGGAACGCCTGGAAATCCATGAAGGTCGGAGTCCGACCCGCACAAACGGAGAAAGCGTAGAAATCCTCCCAGGCGTCGGAAGGACCGCCACGCAGGCGTATGGAGAGGTGAGCCACCCACGTGTCGGGTGCGGCATCCATAAGCTGGAGCGTGCGGGTGGCAGACTGTAGCCACCGAGACACGTGTATGCCTGTACCGTCATACAAGGCAATGTTCGTCAAGCGGACGAGTGGTGCGCCACCGTTTTGGCGGCGAGGAGAACGGGAAGCAGGGGACTGCGCTACTGCTGAATAAGTCGGCGCAGGTCCTGGAGGAGGAGGCGCAGCTAACTGTACGCCCGGGCCGCATGGTGGAGCGGCGGGGGAAACAGTGACAGGCTGCACGGGAGCTGCGATAGAAAAGGTCGCAGCAGTCGAGGGGATGGGGAGGAGGTAGGATGGGGATGAGTAGCGTGCAGGGCGAGGGAAGTTAGCCTGCATGGAAGGAAGAATAGAGGAAGAAGGGGGTGCGGCGGAAGGCGCGACCACCTGCGAGGGTGGGGGTGGCTGAGGGCGTGAGAGGGCGAGGTCGGTCCGCAGCTGGGCGATCTCGTCCTCGAGACCTCGAACGTAGGTCGAGCGAGGTGTGGCAGGGGGAGACGCACGAGCGGCGCGAGGCATCCCACAAGGGGGAGAGCCAGATGGCGCTGCGATCGTACGAAGAGGAGGGAGAAGTGGGGCACCCGGAAAAGTTGCAACCATGGTAGCGGGTTGTGGTACCGTTGTGAGGAAACCCGGGGAGGGGGCCCTTACTGTTCGCTGAGGCTTGGGGCTACAACGCCTGTCACTCGTTGCGCCCGCTCAGAGGTCCTCGACGTTCAGCGGCTTTTCCGTGAACCGTGACTTCAGTCATGCGATCTCTTTTTGCGCTAACTTGCGCACTGCTGTTCCTTACTGCTAGAAACTATCAACCAATGGTTAAAACGATCTGCTCCGATCTTTGTCCAGGGCGCTGGTACTCTGCAAATGTGTCCGGAACTTTATGAATAAATCAAAAACAATAAAATAAAAATAAAAATGAAAAGAGCCCTCCTTTGCTGTATGTTCACAGTCAGCCCGCTCGTTAGTACCCAGCTCACATTATCCCGCCTGATCTCTCTCTCTCTCCCTGAGCTCATTCCGGCGCCCCCGTTAGATAGCTGCTGGGAATTGACATTAGATAAAATTAATAAAACAGCAACTGTTATTCGCACTGGTCCAGTCCCTCCAATCAAAGCTTCACGTGAGTACCCTGGTGGACCAAGCTGACTCGGCCCTACCTCCTACTTCCTTTCATGTTTGATCGGTGATGTATGCTCAAATG